ATCAAGTATAAACTGTCATGAAATAAAAGTTACAGAATTTTCCAAAAGTATTAAATATTTAATATTTAATATTAATTATATATATAAGAGTAGACAGAAAAAAGTAAAGTGAAACAAATTTATAATATAATAATAGAAACATTGGCATATTGTCTGAATACAACACAATAACTTCGTTATATGAAAGGTGAGGATTTATTTAATGAACAGTCCACTCAATATCATAAAATTTGAACATTTTACAATAGTTCTGTCGTGGTTCTGTAATTATGTTAAAGCAAAACCTTGTTCAATGGTGGTTGTCTGTACAAGTATTTTTAATTTCCACATACACAACAAAATATTTTACTTTTTTTTAATACAATTATTAACGAATGAACAAATCTCACGTGTAAGACATCATTCAAATTGATTTTTCCAATCTTATGGAATGTATTATAATATCGTTTTATATTACAGTGGAATTAGTAATTATAACATCAGATAATATAAGACACAACAGATATACTGGTCTACAATAAAATACATTATATACAACTATATGATATAAACTCTTGTTATATATGATAATAACAGTGCTAAATGATAATTCTTTTAATACCATTCTTTCAGTTTGGCTAGACATATAATTGCCTTATTTATTTAATTATGAATTAAATATTTATATGTTGCATGTATTTGGCAGTTTCCCCTTTTTGACAATCAGAAATACTGTGCAGAATTTTTCAATTACTCATGATTGAGAAATAAAAAGGAGAAAGAGTCACCTTTCTTGTGTATTATTGTATACCTGAACAAATAATTGATACAACAAAATATTAGAGAACATTAAAAGATTGGAATGTAATTGTCTATCTTAGCTCTATGCTTCTGTGCTACGCATTCTGCTATCCATACAATATTGCGACATTCTTGTTCTTTTAGTTTAAGGTAACTGTAGAATACTCCAAAGTGAAATTGTTGAAGGAAGGCATGAACATTTAAACAAACCTATAATAATAAAATTAATAAGTTATGATGATATTCTTTATTATATAGTAATAATATTTCTTAATAATATCAAATTTACCTCATGTTCAAAGAACTTATCTTCTAAAGTCTTGTCACCAGGATTGTTTCCAGCACCTTCGAACAAAGCACTGTACTCCTGCGAAAGAAGAATGAATGTATTCTTTTGTATAGATATGTGAATGTTATCTTATAAAAAAGTACATTATTTAAGGTATACGTACAGCATAATATTCTGCCACTGCTTTAACTTGTTCATAATCATCAGCTCTTGCCAATGCTGCTAATCCATCAGGATTTAATTTTCCACAGCGTGGATATAATTTTGCCCTATCATCTTTACCCAATTCAGTTCCAAATGAATTGATAGTTATAATAATTGCTCGCCTGTCCGCTTCAAACTACAAACATAAATTATTTTTAATGCGTTATCTTTAAAATCAAACCAAATATTTTAATAGTATTAGATTTTGTACCGCAAGTATTTCACACATAGTATCTGCAGTTGTTCCACCAATTTTTTTACAGAATTTATAAAATGCTTCCAAGTAAGCTTTATATAAAGTATTTCTGATTATTTCAATGTTCATTTCATCTAAATCTTGTTCAGAAATACAATCCACAAAAAACGGAGCTGTAGAAACATTATGGGTATAATAAAGTAACATTATATTTAAACTTTTTTCAAAAGAAATTTAGAAATAAATAAATATTTTTGGACCATACCCAAAGGAGTATCCACCAAGACTGCACTGTATAATTCAGCAGGTGTAGTTGCTACATGAATAGCTTCCATTTGTTCAAAACTGCCAAGAGGATGACATTTAGGGATCAGTTCAGAAATTGGTCTTTGATGCAAAGTGCCAGTGATTAATAAAATAATGTTATCAATCATGTAACTGTAGGTAATGAAATCTAAAAACTGCGACAGTGGCTCAACAGAATGGTTACGCATGTGTTGAAATTCTAGAACAAGTTTTTCTCTCAATTTGTCATCAATTACACTGACTGACAATGGTGATGGTTCATTAGCCAAGAAGGTACCATAGTCAGTACCCGCCAAATGCAATTTCAAATCTGTATAAATAAATAATTCGATTGAAAATAATTGGAAATGTCAAAAGAAAAGTATAATTGTCGAATGTAATGTACCTTCAAGGGTCTCGCATTGTACAAGATTGAGGTAGTCACTCTGCTGAAGAATTCCACATTTAAATCCACGACAAAGACCTTCCAAGTATCCCCCATCAATATTGAACATACAACCCTTCATTTTGGAAGATCGTTCGTTAGAATTTTACAACTACACCACACGAAACACAGATCCGTCAAAATCGAAATCGGACTCGCCCTTTCCCGTGACGATCATATGACTATTCGGTGAGAAGTTTACTACAGATGACAAAAAACTGGTGTTTAACTCCAGATGGCAGTTCATTTTGCACGATATTTAGTGATATATTTGAATTTTCTGTAATGCTTTATTTAAATTCGGCTTTCAAATTTATTTTGAATTTTATGTTAAAAATAATTTCTAATTTTCAGCGACTTCAATGGACATATTATAAATACATTACCTTTGTAATGTTATACATATATTTGTTCACCAATATTGAAAAGAACCTTTTTTATACTATTCATTGTACCATAAAAGAATATTTCAATGCATTTGATAAAATACAATAAATTATTTTTCGAGCATACATACATGTTATTGTATACATTAAAAATTAAAAAGGATGATCTTAAAGATGATTTTCTTTTAAATAATTATGATATAATATAATTAATGCGTTTGAAACTCATAAACTAAGAAAGGAGAAATTTTTAATTAATGTAAAGGAATATAAACAAATTGTTTGGTATGATGTTTGTTATATCTAACAAATTTTTTTTATTCTTGATAACATATGGAGAGTAACGTTCTTATTTTAAAGTAATTTGATTTATATACCTATACACAGCTTATTTCATATTAATATTTTTACATACTTCAGAGGATATGTGAATATCAAGTGTTATGTAGGTATATACTTATCAATATCCAACGGTGACTCATATTGGTAGAATGCATTGCAGTGAGATATGCTTTGAACTCGTAATGCGTTACTAATATTCTTAATATTTTATTAATTGTTTAGTGATAGTGTAAATTTCGTGAAATAATATGTTTGGAAAGAAAGAGAAATCAAAACGCCAGACACGGCCTGCTGGTAGTCTTGCACAGGTATTATCTTAGACATATTTATAACCTTACTTTTATCAATTAGTTTTTTATTAAATACGTTATTTCTTTTAAAGTATGGGATTTTTGAAGTGCCAGAAACTTTTGATGATTTAAGTAATAATATGATGGAGCATGATGACGATGACGATGATTTAGAAGCTGAATTAGCAGCATTGACAGCTAGTGATGATAATCAAAAACTTAGACATAAAGGTATTTATTGTACATTACGTATATTTGTTAAACTGTAATACCTACGGCTACATGGTTTATTTAAATATTTTTTCTAGCACCTCGAAAACCACTTCCTAATGTAAATTTGGATGAAATGATAGCAGCGAGTATGAAAGATCCTGATGAAGAAGTTTCTGATGGGGATGATGATCCAGAACTATTGGTAAAAATTATAACATATGTACATTCTTTATTTTCGTATTAATTACATAACTAGTTATATCTGAAATAATTTTAGAAATTTTATATTACATTAGAGTGAACTTAGGATGATCACAGGCAATGAGTCATCTGAGAAAATTTCACCAATGGAAGAAAATTCAGTAACAGAAGGCGCACAACATTCTGAATTAAAGGTAGATTGTACACCTGTAGAAAGTGTAATAAAACTATTAGAAGAAAGGTTAACACTTTATCAAACTGCTGAGAGAAAAGCAAAAAAGGAAAATGAACTAGGTCGAGCAAGAAGATATACTAGAGGCATTAAAACGCTTAAAGAATTATTAACTGATGCTCAATCAGGAAAACCTATCGATGAAGCTGATATTCCACCACAATTACCACCCTCTGCTGTTGCAGAATCGACAGAAAAAGTATTAGAAAAGTCCAAAGAAGATTCACAAGGTACTGCTTAAAGTATAGTTGCTAACTTTTTTGTTGAAAATAGTGTTATATATGTTGTATACCATGTGCATGTTTTTCAGAGAATAGTAATACTCCAGTTGAAGTTGATACAGTATCACCCCCAGAGAGTAACATTTCAGAACCTGTTCCAACAAAGTCTTTAGACGACGAAACTTTAAATTTATTAAAAAGCAGGCAACAGGAATATAAAATTGCAGCAGTAGCATGGAAAAAGGCTGGTAATTTAAAAGAAGCACTTCAGTGTGTAAATGTAGCAAAACAATTCGATATAGTCATAGCAGCAGTAAATGCAGGAGACTCTGTTGACTTATCGGATATGCCACCATCTCCAAATACACCTGGAACAAATACTGTGGCTCCTGCGCCAGAATTTCCAAAAACTGAAAATGAAATACAAGGTGAAGCAACCACAGAACAACCATCTACAGGTAAGTTATGGAATACAATTAGGACTTTCTTCTTGCATAGTATACTTTATCAGTTAATATACTTCTAAAGGCATATAGATTAAATAAACGTAACTGATGTCATTAATGATTTTTGAAACAATAGAAGCAAAGCCGGTTGGTTTAGAAAATTTAGAACTTGCATTAAAGGAGCGACTTGAAGTGTATAGAAGATCAAAAACAACTGCGGAAACAGAAGGAAATTCTTCTAAAGCTCGAAGATATGGACGTATATGCAAACAGTTTGAAGATGCTCTTAAGTTACATGCCCGTGGGAAACCTGTACCTCTCGATGAACTGCCTGTTCCACCTGGTTTTCCACCGCTTTCCGCACCTACACAACCTACTGTACCTGCAGTAGAAGAGGAAAAAACTGCAATAGAACCTATACCATCACCACAAAAAGTAGCTGATCCAGAATCATCTGAGAATGAATTAAGTCCAAAAAGTCCTGTTGTTCCTCCTAGAAAACAAACTGGTATGTAATACAATTTTCATGTTGTTTATTACGAATATTTATTATTAAAATGTTTTATTAATGTTATGCTTCCTTTTACTGCCAGGAAAAAAGCAAACTCAGAAAATGACACGTGCTGATAAACAGTTAGCTTTACTGCAACAACGTCAGCATGAACTAAAACAAGCTGCTCTTAATGCAAAGAAGGATGGAGATTTAGAGTTGGCACGTAATTATTTAAGACAAGCAAAAGGAATAGATCCGCTGATTGAAGCAAGTAAATCAGGGTTACCAGTTGATATGAATACAATACCAATATCTCCTTCAGCAAAAATTGAACTTGATGCAGATAGTTCAATTGGTCAAATTGATGACAGTTTTGAGTTAGTGAATAGGGAACAGTGTTTGGAAGAAGCTACAGGAACTGATGACGAGATTTATAAAAATCTAGAATCTCAATTAATAAAACAAATGAAGGTATAACAAAAGCATAGTATACATTTTAAATTGACATCATAACAAATATTCCTGTAATTTCTTGTAGTGGTGCTTATGTACCAGAGATCATTCCAAAGAATTACAAGACATACCTGGATATAATAAATGGGAACGTTTAGCCATGGGCTATAGACGAGATTTGGATATGTTGAGAGTTAGAAAACGTGATGCACTGCCACCGCCACAGCACCATTATGAAATAAAAACTTACACTATAGTTCAGTCAGTATTATTTTATTTTGTGATAGAAACGAGAATAGCATTGACTTTATCTTCAAAGTCATTATGGTGTTTATGTTTTAGGAGTTGTACAGATTTAAGTGATAATGATATAGAAATTTCAATAATAAGGGGAATAAACTTTACTAAGGAGGACACATATGTCATATATGAATTTCCTTATCCATCAGATAATCCTCCGACAGATAGAACGCCTACTGTTAGAGGAACGTGCAATCCAGAGTATCAAGCAGTATTTCCCATAACTGGTATAATCGATCGTAAATTAAGACAATGTCAACGGGCTTTTAAAAGACATGCACTGAAATGCCAAGTCTGGGCGAAAGGGTAATTACTAACAGTGATTTAACAAGAGTTTTAATTAATATTTATTTATGATAAATTTTGTTTTCATAGTATATTCTAGATGAAAATAATAAATTTTAAAGGTTACAAAAAAATAACTACTTTTTTTTTGTAGTAGCAACAATAATGCTTATAAATAATATTTTATTGTACATTGTAAAATATAATTCATTAAATATTAAATTTAATTTTATCAAGGTTAAGTAAATATAATTGAAAGTATAATATTAAAAATAATAAATAGACTAGTACGTTGCTTGCAGATGCTCGCTGAATCCTCTCCTGTGTTGCACTCATCCAAGGTATGAAAATCATAGTTCTGAAGAGCATTTAGCTTCTAAATTATATGCCAAAACATGTGCTATTGTTTATGTTTTTTAAGAATTGTTGGTTATTGGGTTCTATGTTTTTTGTTTACTTTTTTTTAGTTGGCTGATACATAAAAAGAGTATTGAAATTTTTATCTATTTATGAAGTAAAAAGAAAATTGTCATATATATTGAAATGCTATATATATATATATCATAGTTTGTCTGATATCAATTTTTTACATTGCACGAGCAAGCTGTGACAACGTATATCTTGTTCTATCAAATTTCAGCTTTGATAATATATGTGTACATACTCACTATTCTATATGATTGTGTGTCTTTTGCAGTGGATTCTTTAGAAGCGATAGTCTGTTAGGTACAGTAACAGTTAAATTGCAACCATTAGAGACTCAATGTGTACTTCATGATTCATTTTCTGTAAGTATTAGATTTGATATATTAAATTTATACTTTGAAATAATATTTGACTTAAAAGAAACTCTTTGTAATTACAGTTAATGGATGGAAGGAAACCAACAAGTGGAAAGTTAGAACTAAAAATACGGTTGAGGAATCCAATTCTTACAAAGCAGATAGAACAAATTACGGATAAATGGTTAATCATTGATCATTAATGTATCATGATATCACTTTATACTTTTATTTTTTAATGATTACACCATTGAGGCCTTGGACATATAATTTGCTTATTATGAAACATATGGTAATTTGTTATTTTATTCTTAGCCACGCACGTTAATGTGAATATGTATATGTGTCAGATAATTTATATATTTTATTACAAATGTTCAACTACAAACAAATATATGCATACATATAGTATTTCCGTGAAATGAATACATATGCACAAACCACAGTCTAATATGTAAATATCGTGACATATTGGATAAAAAACTAGAGCTTTAATTCATATAAAAATGCAAAATTGTGTATAGTATTTTATGTTAACATTATGTCTATTCTTGGACTGTAAACTAATTGAGATTGATTATCGATTTTAAAAATAAGTTCTTAATTACTTAATGGTTAAATAAAAAATTTTTAAATTCAGTTAATGAATGTACTATGTAACTTTGAACCAAATGTCTAAATCATTTTTTAATTCAGATGATAATTTAAATTATAAATATTTGTAATGTTTTTCATTAATAAAACGTATGAATTGAAATGTAAAAAATCTTAATGCAATTAAAATTAATTATTGTGCGCATTAGATACATATCAGTTGTATCTATTGAAATGATTTAAACGTAGAGGAGGAACGATCACGGAGTGAAGCTGAATCCACATTTCCAGAGAACAATACAGTACGTGAGCCTCACTAACAAACTATTGTCCGATAATCGTTCAACTCTGTCTCTTTCCAGTTCACCATCCCACTGTTTCATCCCCACTCACGTATGCCTCACCGCTTAGTCCTTAACAGCCCCGTAATACTTCGGAACACAGTAGGATGCATTGACATGTACAAGGGAACAAAACTGCAATAAATATAATTATTGTACTAACAATATACTAACAATTTAATATAGCATTATTTTATTAAATATAATTTACTAAAATTGATATATTCTTATTCTGACATTCACTATAACAAAGTGAAATAAATACGTTTTCATTATTGATTTTACCCTCCTTTTGAAGTTATTTATATTTATTTAATACTGAAAATAAAATACAAAATAGAAATGTCTAACTAATTACCATCAGAGAAATAATGAAAAAACTAAGTACCCTATAAATATTGACCTATTTATGAGTTTTGATTGGAAATAGTGTGCTTGGGTTTCGATACTTCTTCTCTCGTTTTATATATATTTTTACATGTGGTTTATAAAATTCGTCGTTTCGCAAAATTATTTTCCTACAAGCTAATACAAGTTATCCATTCTGAAATATTTGTAACACTATCTTGTTTTTACGAAACCCTGTTAATATATTGTCTTCGTGTGCATACGTTAGGCTGGTTGCCTACCCTTAAGAATTCAGGGGCCATTATGCAAACTATAAAATCAACTGTTGAGTACCCCATAACACGTGTAGCCATCTAGCGATGATTGCGACAACAGAAATGGAAATATCGAAACATATTAATGTTCATTAGATTGCGATCTTACAAATATAATAAATTAATTGCAAATTTTTTGCATTTATGATAAGTTTGAAAACTATACCCAATACATTTGCATTTACAATAACAGTTACACAGACGTATCCATCTATACAAACCTATATTTGCAGCAGATAGTAAACAGTAGTCAATAATCAATAAACATTTACTGGTATTTCATTTTTTTATTGAAGAAAGAATATTCCTGAAGCTGTTCAGGCAAACTGTGTACACGTGGACTGCCTCGCTGGCACTTTAGGATTCGACGATCTTTTGTGGTCGCGGTTGCAAGGGGTGACCCTGTGTCACGGACGGGGGTGCCAGTGAAGATTGGTACATAAAGTAGTTGACACCCACCGTGTCAGATACTGGGCGTCTGGTGGTAATCGAAAGAAAGGAAAAAAATGCTCGATCCATGCCGCAACCGCTTTCACCGGCGTTGCACAAAAGCGTTTCCCGCGGTGCACATATCGATCGCGCCATCGGAAAACAATGGGATTTATTTGCCAATTAGACAATTAGGTCGGCTGAAAGGGCGCAGGGAGCAACCGAGCAACCGAAACTTCGCCGGTAGTAAGTACCGCGAATCTGGATTACACGGTCCAATGCAGAGTATTTGACGAGCATATACATACCGCGGTTAATGTTGACCTTTTGGCCTCAGCCAGCGGGATTCTGCGTGCAAATTAACGATGTTTGTTCTCAACCCTTTGGCCTGCCTTGATTCATCAATCCCGTCGGTCTTTCCTCTATCCGCATGGGAGGGGCGCGTCGGCACACCCGTGAACGGCTCGTTCTCCTTTGTTTTTTAAACTGTACCCTCCGAATTTTGTAAAATAGCAGGGAATCCGCGATTTTCATTCTGGTCGAAGGACTTACCAGATTTCGTGAACTATCGATAACATCTTCCTTCATTTATGTTTGCCCTGTTCGTGAGAATTCAATATCGACACGCATAAAAATAAAGAAGCTATATAATCTAACAGCATCCTTGAAAATTATTTTAAAATTAACATTATTCAACATTCGGCGGAACTCGGTTGGCGGATGACAATGATAGAGTATGGTAATTGAGAACGCTAGTATATTTACGTATTAGCAAGATAACCTTTGATATATTTCGTAGTTTATCACTGCAAGTGAATTGCAATGTACAATAATGTTACACTTCGGGGCTTGAACCGTGTTACGTAAAAATCACATTGTAACACGAAGTTGCAACATTTTATAGGATGAGCTGTTAGGATGAATTGCGATTTTTAAAAGAGCTTTAACATAAATATCACTGATATTTAATAGAATTAAATAGATTTATGAAAGCAAATGCATATAAAGGGAAAAAGTTAAACAGCTCTTTGTTAAAGATCCAGTATATCGCTAAGAACAACTGAAAACGTACATATTTGTCAATTTAAACGAGATCAGACAATCTCGCCCGGAATCACGCTAATGGCAATTATGGTTCAGTCGACATTTTTCTATCATAAAATTACAGGGATTCGATTGGGCAGACAGTGATTCGAGACGGAATCACGGAATCTCGCCACACCTCCATATCCTTTTCGCGGGACACGTGCTGCGCGTCGGCAGCTCTTCTTCTTTTTCGAAATCGTTTGCCGTAGATAGAGTCCGGTTACGCGGTTTCTGCTTATTCGGCAGATGGCCGGACGTGACGTCACTGGAACCAACCGAGTGTTGATTGCAGATGCCAGATGCGACCCGACACCAAAGTTCTTTCGCCTTCTCTTCCTTCTCCTCGCGGATCCACCTCGCGGATCATGCCGCGGATTCGCGTTACGTGACGCGGCTCGGTTCGTCCGTCTTTTATGTCAAAATCTACGACGCATAATTTGATGTACTTCCGACACCATCGCCGGGTTCTCAGTTTCTTACTGGTTTTTTTTCTATTTCATACGTAATCGCACGCAGAATTACTATTATCAGTGCTATTTGGAATTCTCCTTAAATACCAATCAACACAAACATTTTCTCAGCCCTTTGCACTTCAAAGTTTTTGACTAGAAATATTCAATATTTTTCGATAAGACAACATCCTTTGAAACTAATTAATGAGAAATATTAATTTAATATTTCATATATAGATGCATTATGCAAAGCTTAATATTATAGATACGATTTTACATTTTTGTTATATCGAATAAGTTGAGACTCGCCTCTACAGTGCAAAGGGTTAAAATTTCGTAACTTTGGGCATCTGGTTCGATGATAGATCAATGAATTAACACATAAATGAATATACGTTCGCTGGAAATTCCTACTTACCCTCCGACGATCAATAAATGCCAAAACGTGATTACTTTTCAATTTCATCCCGCGTCGCGGACTTCGCGTGCGACAATTGGCCGAGCAAGGACTAATTTCTCGACCACCCCGTATATTCCAAGCTGTTCAACCAAATAAACATTCCGCATAACTGAAAACGGTCGCACACATAATCTCCCGACACTTCATACTTCGCCGCGATATTCGTCTTATCAGCGAAGTTCATCATCGCCGACTGTCATTATCGCGTCATCCTTTATCTTGGGGAAAAATAACGGCGAAGTTATGCAGCCGATGGACGGAATGGTCGAAGGCCGACGTATTTGCGGGGACGATATCGGTGAAGATTGCGATGCAACGGGAAGCACGGCGATCAGTAGACCCCCGTTGACATCGCGCGAAGTGACAGGGGCCATGCGCGGTTTATTAACACTTCAGCACCCGGTAATTCCGGGATATGAAACACGCTGAATACCATTTAGTGAAAATGATTTCTGTTTCGGTACGCTGAAAGTAAATCGATTTAAACGCAATGCGATGGTTGTCGCATTAAAAATAATTTACTTTATGTGTCGTAAATTACGGAAATATGTTTTTGTGTTGTATACATGCATAAATACAAGTTCATTAGATCAATAGTCATTAACCGTAATAAACAAAAACACGTATTTAGTAATGCGTGAACGGATGATAAAGTGTTAACAAGTCGCTACCGGGAATGCCGACCGGTTTCTAGGATCGTGTACCCAGCCTCGAGTGATTTCTTCGTGACTCGGCTGGTATACCGGTGTCTCCTGAAGGGATGCCATTACAACCCTTCCGCCGCTCGGATTGCCGTGAGTTGTACATACAACGACGCGACACATCGAAGCCGAGCGGCCGGCACGCACGGGACGCGTGTAGAATGACGCCATTTCGTATCTAGATAGATATCAGGGGCACGTCTATTTTTACATTAGTGATCACCAGTAAATATAAATTTTCTTGGAAACATCTTTCTAGGGATTTTCATCGGGAAGATCGACGAGTTCCAATTCCCCAGGACGTAAGTATGAAGATTTCATATAGATACACTGATTTCTCGAAGAAATTCGATTTTAATCGTAAATCTGCAAACAATTGTCTACCAAGTCGAGAAACTTATTTTTAATGTTTAAGGTTCTGTAAGGAACTCATTTTGCTCTGCTTTCCATTTAAGCGGTGCATAAATTAAAAAATTGTGTTTGTACGTAAGCAACAGACATAACAGAACAAATCTATTTTATCTACAACGCTTCAATGATATTAATTACAAAAGGCATGAATAAATTTGTTAACATCGTATAATTAATAAGATATTGTTCCTTAAATTTAATATTATCGGTCTTCAAGGACTAACGTCGCGCTCGTGTTAATTAACATTTATAAATGCTTAGATAATCGGCGCCTACTAGAATTTCAAATGTCTTCAAATAATTACCCACACAACAATTTGTTTCTTTACATTGGAACGTTATCGTGTGGCATGAATAAAACTGTTGAGTGACAAATGTTTACTGTACGTTACTCACGTGAGACAAGCCGGCCTGTGGCTCAAAAGTGAAGAGGAGCAAGGGGAGACGTCCACTCGCGACGCTCGGTCTAATAGTAATGGCGGAATTAATTCCAATACATCTTTGTTACTGGCCAAGCTGCGATCTGAGGTGGAGCGTGCGACCGAGTCCCCTTG